CCCTATTCTTTTCAAACACTTTGGACTCTGCAGATGCCTAGCATCTGGCTAAGTAGGCTTGTGTTCTGTATGCTTGGTGTTTCATCTGCCTGAACTATTCTCTTATCAGATATTCTCGTAGCCATGGATGGGGGAAGCTCCTTTGAACTGGGTCTCTGGGTTACTGTGGATGCACAGCCTGAGTAGGAAGTAAGAACTTTTCAAAGAAAAGTTAAGCCACTGATGTAATAGAGCTAAGTAAAGAACTAAAGTAACTACTGGCCTTGAGTTTATTTTCTTCCTTTGGCACAGCAAGTCTCAGATGTACTCAAGGAAGATAAAAACTTCTTTTTGATGATCAGTTCTGGCCAATCCAACCACTTATAAAAACAACAATCCTGATGTTAACAAGCATCCTCTGCAGACCAGTCAAGGGAATGATAAACTGCTGTGCTCAGCAAAACAGCATGTAGTACCCCTCTGCACTTACTTCCCTTTTAAAAATTCTTGTTAGATGGGATTTTGAAGGTAGTCTTATGACACCAGTCCTCCATCTTCCCAAATTGTTGGTTTCCTGGATAAAGCAACATTTCCTTTTCAGCAACACTTGTCCCTCAAGTACTGGATTTTAAGCAGCAAGCAGCCAAAGGTGGGTTTGGTACCAGATTCCAGAAACACTGAGATCTTAGATTTAATTTGTGACCTTCATATAAACTAGCTTATCTGACTGATAAATTTAATAGTTAACAGGCTGGCAGGTAGCATGGTGGTTAGGGTGCTGGAGTCCCACATGTCCTACTGAGGTGTGAGTCCCAGACCTGGTGGCTTGCTCTCTCACTTTCCCCCCACTTTTTCTCTGTCTCTCTCCGGTCAAGTAAAAAATAATTCTAAAAAAAAAAAATGTCATAGTTAACAAAACAAAAATAAATTTTTTTAAAAGCTTTAACTATTGAATATTCTTCAATCTGCTAGAGGATTTAAAATATCAACATAATTTTTCTGACTACTGCTAAGTTTGAGCATTTTGTCATCTACATTTTGACCATTTAATATTAATATTCAATTTTTCTTTTTTCTAATTGATTTTCAAAAGTTCCTTACATGGGGAACCAGCAGTTAGCGTAATGGCTTTGTCGCTGGACTCCCACGTAGTCACTGCGGTTTGCGTCCCGGACCTGGTGGCTTAGAACTCACGGGCGCATGTGCGTGCGTGCCCAAGATCCCAAGAGGAGAATGGAGGAGAAGGGATTGCAGCGTGACCATCCCCCCGGGGGATGATTTCTCGCTTTCTGTCTCTATGTCTCTCTCTGTCTATCTGGCAAGCGCACACGCCCTATAGCAAAAAAAACTCTCAAAAAAAAAAATGTTCCTTACATGGATGCGAATTAGCTGCATCTCTTATGGTCACATATATTTTCCACTAGTATGTCTTTTGACTTTGTTACTTACCACTATTAAGTTGTTTTGCAGCCATTTACCAAAATCTGTGTAGTCTAATTTGTTATTTTTCTCTTGGTTTCTGAATTTATGTTTATAAAGACTTCTTCACTCCAAGATTATTCTATTCATACTCCTCTAGTGCTTTCATTCCATTTTTTTTTTCCCCCAAATTTTGCCAGCGAGCATGTACACCAGAAAGAAAGGGAAGTGCAAAAGCATACCTGTGGGGAATGGTCAGGTTTAATCCCTTCTCCTCCATCTCTCTCCTTTCAGGATTTGGGACTTGCACACACATGCGCCCAGTGCGTTTCTCAAGGCACTGGATCTGGAATTGATACCAGACATTTGGCCATGTGGGATCTAGCCACCCTCACCATCATACCATGGTCTGCCCGTTCCACTTTTTTAGTTTAACTTTTTTTTCTTTTTAAAAATTTATTTACTTATTTATTTGTTTATCTGTTTAGGAGAAGTTTTTGCTATCGGGCACGTGCACTCGTCAGAAAGAGAGATACAGAAAATGAGAAATCACCCCCAAGGGGGATGGCCACACTGCAATCCCTTCTCCTCCATTCTCCTCTCAGTATCTTGGGCATGCATGCACACGCGCCCGGCATGAGTTTAAGCCACCAGGTTCAGGATTCAAACCTCGGTCAACTGTATGGGAGTCTAGCGACATAGCCATTACGCCAACTGCTGGTCCCTAACTTTCTTTTTTAAGTTTATATACTGTTTCTTTAATGAGAAGTGGGAAGAGGTCAGGGACCCCCAGCAGGATCTTGTCACACTGAGAAACAGCCAGGCAGGATTACAGATGTCCCCACAGCTGTACCCAGCATGGTCAGGTCAGCTGGAGTATTGCCCCCATCAGTGACCTGCCTCTAGTGCCACCATGAACAGTCCATAGTTTTGTTTTAATCCATCAAGAGCTTATTTTTGCATAAGTGAGTTAGAAATCTAGTCTCATTTATTAAAAAAAGATCCATTTTTT